ATCATCGAGCTCATGGAGCCGCACGCGTCCTTCTTCAAGCCGTGCTTTCAAGACCTTGTGCGCATGATGGTCACAATCGCGCAGACGACGAGCGCGAGCTTTGGCACGCGGCAACTGGCCATGGAGGTGCTGGTCTCGATCGCAGAGAACGCGCCGGCCGCGTGCCGCCGGTTCCCGCACAACAGCTTTGTCGAAGTCGTCTTTCCGATCGCGTTTGGCCTTATGCTCGACGTACCGGACGAGATGCTCGAGGACGACGAAGCCAACGACGACATCTCGAACGTCGACGTCGGCTCCGAGTCGCTCCAGCGCATGGCGCAAGCAATTGGCTTCAAGAAGTCTCTAAGCACGTGCTTCCGCCTCGTCACGTCGTTTGCCAACCACGGCGATTGGCACTACCAGTACGCCGCCCTTCTCGGCCTCACGCAGATCGTCGAGATCATCCCGCCGGCCCAAGTGCCGTCCGTCGTCGACCACGTGTTTACGCACCTCTCGCCCACCTTCCACCCGCGCGTGCTCAGCGTCGCCCTCGACGCGCTTGGCCAGCTCGCGACGGACCACGGCCCCGTCTTCCAGGAGCAGTACCACGCCCAGACGATCGCGATGCTGCTCGAGTACATGGCGCTCTCGGCGCCGGCGCTGGCCCAAGCCAGCTGGAAGTGGAAGTGCCACTTCCAAGCCCACGCCGCCACGTCGCTGCGCTATTTTATTGACACGTGCCACCCCGAGGTGATGGACCCGTACCTTGAGTCGCTCCTCACCGCCCTCTTTGCGATGCTCTCGACGGCGCACACGAGTGGCACGACCCGACGCCCGAAGGCCGGTCGGTGCAAGAACACGCGGTCGCCGCGATCTCGTCGATCGCGGGCTGCTGCGGCCCTAGCTTTGCCCGCTTCTACGACAAGGTGCTGCCGCCGCTCAAGCAGCTGCTCTACGCGTGCTTGGCCGAGCTCACGACGGCGAGTGACGCGTCGACGATGCTCTGCGGCATCACGCTCGAATGCATCTCGCTCGTCGGGCTCGCCGTCGGCCCGGACGTGTTTGGTGCCGACGCGGACGAAGTGCTGACGGTCATGACGCAGATGCAGCACTCGACGCAGTACGCTGACGACGAGATTCTGCGATCGTACCTCCTCCAGGCGTGGGCGCGGCTCTGCAAGACGCTCGCGGAAGGCTTCGCGCGCTATTTGCCGGTCGTCATGCCGTCGCTGCTCGACGCAGCGATGCAGCAAGCCGAGTTTGACATGGACGACGACGAGGAAAATGGCATGATGGCGGACGACGACGACGAGGACGTGCAGATCGCGCACATCAACGACAAGTGCGTGAGCATCCGCACGAGCTTGCTCGAAGAGAAGGCAACCGCATGTCAAATGCTCTCGTCGATGGTCGGCGACCTAAAGGAAGCGTTCTTCCCGTACGTCGAGCAAGTCACGACCGTGCTGACGCCGCTCATGACCGACTCGGTGCACACGGAGATCCGCGCCGCGTCCATCTCGGCCATGCCGTCGCTCGTGCTCTCAGTCTCGAAGCATCTGCACGTGACCAACGGCGATTACAGCCCCGTGGTCCAGATGCTCGAGTATACGCTCGGCCGCCTCTTGAACGCACTCTCGACCGAGCCCGAGCTCGAGCTCCAGATGACCATCATGCAGTCGATCAAAATGTGCATCGCGCACGCAGTGGACCCGGAAGAGACGAACGACCTGATTGGCAAGAAGGCGCCGACGGGCCTTCTCAACCACGCGCAGCTCGTGCAGCTCGTCGAAGGCTTGCTCATCGTGCTCGCCGAGAGCTTCCAGCGCCGCGCCGTGCGCCGTGCGCGCAAGGCGATCGAAGAGCTCGACGAAGAGGAGGCCGAGGAAGACATGGACAATGACGCGACCGAAGCCCAGCTGCAGTTTATCCTTGCCGACTGCATTGGGTCGCTGGCCAAGACGCACACGCACGTCTTCTTCCCCGTCTTCCAAGAGACGCTCCTCGACAAGGTGCTGGAGATGGTCCAGCCGCACTGCCTCCCGGAAGACCGCAAGCTCGCCGTGTACCTCGTCGACGATATTTTGGAGCACACGGGTCCGTCGGCCGTCGCGCACCTCGATACGTTTGTGCCCATGCTTGTGGTACGTCGATGCTTCAACCATCGTAGTACGTGTATGTATGAATGCTCATTGTAGGATTGCGTCGGCAGCGAGTACCCGCCGCTTCGCCAAGCGGCTTCGTTTGGCCTCGGTCTCTGCGCGACGCAGGGCGGGCCGGCGTTTGCGCCGTATGTGACGCAGACGGTCGAGCTCCTCTGGCAGCTCGTGCACGCCCCCGACGCGTACGACCCGATGTACGTCAACGCGACCGACAATGCGGTCTCGGCGATCGGCCGCATGCTCCTCCTCTTTGACGAC